CCTGCTTGCAAAGTGGAGTGCAACCAACGGTTGCAAGCCTTTGCCTGGTAACGCCGGTAACTCCTGGAACACCTGACAAAGTTGATAGTAGAGAGTCTTAATAATTAGAATAGGGTCTTTGGGTGTATTATCGGAATACTTGTCAGATTTGTTCAGCCTTCTATATTGAGCTAATTGGCATACAAAGCGGACATGAGAGTGAGAGAAGAGCATCCTTTATCCAGGCCCATGTGCCTCAGCGCACTGTGATCGGAATCCTGTAGGGGGCTGTTGCGCGTTGTTGCAAAGTTGACTACAAGTCCTCTGTTTCGCCCAGCCTGGAGCGTTCTTCCAAAATCCTGCTGCGTCCTTTCTCTCACAGCTGCAGTCGTGGATACCTGCGCGACTACTCCGACAAGGCCCAGAATTTCCTTTGGAGACGGATGTCAAAGCTTAGCATGAAACCGAAAATTGCTCTCGCGCTAAAGCCACTGCTGGCTGCATGTTGCTGGAGGCAAGTCTATGAGTGACAACCGAAGGAAAGGCATCTGAATTGCATGCTGAATAAACACAGAAATCATGGATTACTCGATGTGATGGCATCACACAAAGATAGAGACACAACCCAACAACTCCAGTCTCTGGGCCCCTTCCAGGCCCTACCCCATAAGATTACCACTCATGTATACCTTCAGCCCCTTTACACATGCATCGTCTACAGCCTCAGGTAGTAGCAGCGCTAGCAGTAGTAGTAGCAGCAGCAGTACAGCAGTAGCCGTAGCAGTAAGGGCAGCAGAAGCAGTAGCAGTAGCCGTGACAGCAGCAGCAGCAGCAGCAGCAGCAGCAGCAGCAGCAGCAGTAGTAGGAGTAGGAGTAGGAGTAGGAGTAGTAGTAGTAGTAGTAGTAGTAGTAGTAGTAGTCATCGTCGTCGTAGTAAGTAGTCGTAGGAGTAGGATTAGGTGTAGGAATGGCTGGAGGGGAGGAGTCTTAGCAGCAAGACTTGACACGGTGTGCCTCGCTTTTGGTCAATCCACCCATGGTTCTTTGCTCATATGCCAGGCCAGAGAATGGCAACCTTCGACCTTGTCATCCCCTCGGCGGTATGGGGCACCGCTTTTTGCGGTTTATGCGTGGGGATTCTGTAAGCTGCTGTAAAGGGTTTGGAGTTGCGCGGCAGGTGCTTTCAGCTTAAACTTGTTGGTATTGGGCTGTTGCCAACTGCACCCTAAACCCTAAACCCTAAACTCTATTCGGCTTGAGGCTTGGCGTTGAGCATGGGTGGCTGAAGCAGTTGTCCGCACAGCTCACAGATTCTCAGATATTCCTACAATAAACCTACCTAAGCCGTGAAAGAGTTTGCTTGCACAGCTCAGACCGTGGTGGTTTCGGGTGGCACTCGTACTTTTTAAGTGTCCGTGGTCGTTCAGGCTGCACTCCTCAGCACGAGATATTTTGGTACGTTGTTGAATATCGAGTCACCCTCAAAATACATCCTGACATACTTATGGGTTGCTCAGCGCAGGTAGCCGATGCAGATTGCATGCCCGGGGTTCCCGGTCTTCCCGTGTCCCAGGACTGCAAGGACGGAGTGGAGATCAACAAGATACGCCTGCCGCCCCCACATGGCGGCCTACCGCCTGCAAAGAGCGCAGGAAGTAGTTTCACGTAGTAGTAGTAGTAGTAGTAGTAGTAGTAGTAGTCACCTCCTCTACAGTAATCTACAGCAGTCCTTCCATCGCGTGCATGGTCCAGCTTTGTAGGAGTGCGCTATTTGCAAGCATCACCCCGAATCTAAACTGGAAGACACACGATGCACACACATGGCTTTTACTGGGTTACAAGCGGCCCTCCGTTTGCTCGGGTCCTTTACACGGTGCAGTTAGCATGGACCGGCTGCAAAGCTCTGATTATTGACAAGCAGCGAGAAAGGCTTGAGCTTGCGAACGAGTGCTATGGGCAAGTCTGCCGATTTTAATGTTACTTCATTAGAGTAAGTATATGACAGCCATGGCTGTTCGGACAGCAAGTCTGGCCTGTGCAGAACGCCCAACCCACACACCCAAATCCTAAACCTCGAACCCTATACTTGTAAACCCGAGACCTGATACCCAAAGCCAAGGAAAAGATGGGGGCAAGGATGCTGGCAAAGGCGACCGCGAGACTCGCTTCTCAAATCATCCAACCAAGTTGGGTCATCGGGTCTTGAAGGCTTTTGTCCACGGCAGCGTCCAGGCATGTTACGGCAGATGTGTAGGCTGGACGAACAGCTGACAATGATTTTGATGATGGTGAGGGTGATGGTGATGGCCAACACCACCCGCACGTGATGCCCCAACTAGAAATCTGTACCCCAAGCCACTCCGTCAGTCTTCTTATCGACTGGCTCAGGTCATGAAACGCATGTTTGGCGGGTTTGGACTTTTATAGTCGATGGCTTAATCAAGATGCGAGGGTCTACGCATGCTAACTCTAAAAGGACTTGTGGCTTCGCGCCCTCGCTATGGCCAAAGAGGAGCCGGATGAGTGGGCTGAGCCGATCGGAAATGCTAAGAGGCTGTGCAGCCAGAAGAGCCCGGACATCTCAGTTCGATCTTTCCAGTCGCGACTGGCAGAGTGGGGCGAGCAATGCCTTAGATTTCAATCCTCTGGCGAGAGGTGGTTGCCCACGAAGCCCTGTTGTCCAGCCTGTCCCTATCTGGGGCTAGAAGCTATTCTCTGGCAAGGCTGCAAGAAGCACGAGCCGACGCCATGTGTACAACTCCTCAGCATAGAGGAGTTGTTTGAGTTGCACGAGTTCTTCCGCGAGAACCAGCACAATGGCCTTTTTGAGGATTCCGGATCTGAGCCACGGCTCGATGTTGGATGTGATCTGCAGATGCGCCCCTGGATACGTGATCTTCCGCGAGTTCGCGCGGGCAGTGGCTCCGAACTCACGGAGGACGGGATGCTGTAAACCCTAAACCCCTTAAACAAAAAGAGAGCCCAAAGCCTGGTTTGGGCAACAGCCTTCATTGAACAGGCCTACGGGATGCTGATGCTTTCGCCGAGCTCAGGCTCTGCTGTGCAGTTCCACGAGGGCTCGACTGAGCCCGGCGAGAAGCATTCAGAGGCAGTCGAGCCGAGACCGAGCGGCCCGGTTCCTGACAGGCAAATGGCTGGGCGCCAGCAGGTGCAGCCCAGGGACACAGCCACCAAAAAGAGAGGCCGTGGGGGGTACAACCGAGGCCAGCGAGAAAGCCGCGGCCCAGAAGCTTAAGCGGAAGCCGGTCACTCCGAGAACCAAAGCCCAGGAGCTGGCCAAGAAGTCTACGAAGAAACCCACCCGGTCGACAGGTGTCCTCTCCGCCGCGAAAGGCGTTTGTTTCTGCAAGGACGAGAAGAGGTGGCGTGTGTCCATGTACAACCCGTCCACCCAGAAGTACTGTTATGGGGGCCGCTTCAAGCTTCAGCAGGAAGCCGAGGCCAGCGCCCGGAAGCTGGGCAAAGAGTTGGGGCTGCCAACGAAGCGGAAGCGCCCAGCAGTGAACTCCCCCAACTTTGAGCCGCCGCGGAAACAGAAGGGGATCTTCTGGAAAGGGAGATGCTGGAGAGCCTGGTTCTGGGTGTCCGAACGTAAGCAGACTATCAACGCGAGATTCCCCGCCGATGATTTATCAACCAAGGAGTTGGAGAAGGCCTGGAAGAAGGCAGTGGCCTGGCGCAGGCAGCAAGAGAAGCAGCAGCTTAAGAAGGCCAGTAAGCGCTGACTATAAACTACGTGTGGATGTGCACGACGCGAGGACAAATCTGGCCAGAACTGCGGTTTAAGGCTTAGGGCCTGAGATAAGTACGTTAAACATGCGTTCTGCCCCGAAACCCTATTGAGCACGATGGTCCGTGTACGACCTCGATATACATTTTACCCCGAAGCCCAAGTCAAGCTGGTCAGGGCATTATATAAACTAACATCAGCAGGATTCATTGGCGCAGTTAAAACCACTGCAGCTCACCACCAGCACCGGCACCAGCACCAGCACTAGCACTAGCAGCAGCACAATCACCACCACCACCACCACCACCACCAGCACCACCAGCACTATAGCTCCAGGACCACCAGCACCAGGACCACCAGCGCCACCGTCACCATCGCCATCACCATGACGACCACCACCGCCATATTAATCATATTCATTGTTTTCATAATCTTGATTACCCCGACCTTTATTACCCTGATCATCGTCCTCACCAACAGCAAGATCCTTGCCAACAGCATAAACACAGTCATTATCAGCGCCGTTGTCATCCGCGCAACAGCCCTCATCATCATCATCATCATCATCATCATCATCATCGTCATCACCACCGCCACCACCACCACC